TTAACTAACTTTTCTTTAAGAACTTTGAATGCTTCCTCTTGTTCATGTAACCATTCCCAAGCAACGTTCTTAATGAGTAACTTATTTAAGGGATGAGCTAACCCAGCGAAATTCCTAATAAACTTTCGGAAATATCCAACTAACCCAAGAAACTGTCGGACAGAGTGCTGATTCGTAGGACACGGGAAATCTAATACGCATTTAATCTTTTTATCACCTGGCCTTATACCCTTAGCACTAATCTCATAGCCTAAGTAATCAATTTTGTCTTTAATAAACTCAGATTTGGTCAAATTAAGGGTGAGGTTAGCGTTATCTAGAAGTTGTAAAACCATCTCTAACCTATTCAAACACTGGTCGATATCTACACCATATATAAGTATATCATCTATATAAGCTGTAGCACCGTCAAATCATGCTGGACCAAGGATCTTATTAATCATCCGCTGAAAAACAGCAGGTGCATTTGCCAAACCGAACGGTACACGGTTAAACTCATATTGGCCGTCCGGTGTGACAAATGAAGTGAATGATCGTGAATGCTCAGATATAGGAATTTGGTAATAGCCAGAAGTTAGGTCAAGGGTGATGAAATATGCTTGACCAGATAATCGAGCAATTTCATCCTCTATATTAGGCATGGGATAACGCTCTTTGACAGTTATTGAATTCAACATCCTGTAATCTACACATATTCGCATCTGTACCGTCTTTTTTGCGAACCAATAGGATTGGACTAGCATAATCTGAAACAGATTCCCTTACTATCCCAGCATCCAACATATCATTCACCTTTTCTCGTACATCTGACCGCTCCTTATAAGACAGTCTGTACGGACGGTATACAATTGGTTTATTAGAATTTATCTCTATTGTCATTTCAGTGACATTTGTACAACCTAAGTCTTTCAAAGAAGACGCAAAACAATGTTGGTATTTATCTAACAAATCAAATAGTTTTTGACGGTGTACGTCATCAACACAATCCCCGATTCTAACCATATTCTTATCAATACTTGATGATCCTAGCGATACCTTTGAAGATGTTAAAAGTTGATTAACTCTTTTAACTTCTACACAACGACCAATTACCATCTCGCTTTTTATATAACTAAATTCTGACACAGGAGTAACGATTAAGTAAACGATTCCATTCCTAATTGGATATACAACTCCTAGTACGACAAAATCTTGCAATGGTTTACCAATAACCTTATAATCTACCAAAATATAACTATTGATTTGTGGTTCCACTAAAGCCTTAATGGATACTAATCCGTGACAGTTAATATCAGCGGAAACAACAACCTTGAGCATATTACCATTTACTATATCAGTTTTTCTAAAGGGCATCTCATCATTAATATTAAGAAAATAAAGCTTCTCTGCAGTTTTGTATATGATTACATGTGACTGCTCCGTAAATGACTGTCCAACAAGTAGGGGAAACTCCAGGTACTCGTCAGCGACTACATGGCAAACGACAACCGCCTTAACACCGTCAATAGTTATATCTACCGAAACATTCCCAAAAGTATGAATAAACCATTGCCAAACCCTTTTAAAACCGTTACTTCACTAGTACAGGTTAATCCTAAACGAGAAGCAAGTGATTGTTTTAACAATGTAACTTCGCTACCAAAGTCTATGAAACACTTAGCAGAGACTTTGTTCACCTGAACTTCCTTATAAAATTTTGAACTGGGATTATCATTAGATATGAGCATAGTTTTAGTAATAACTGGGTTAACTTTATCTTTAGAAAAACAATTTTCTATTGCATGTCCCATCTTATTGCACTTGCCACATTTAACAATAGGTTTGGGGCATTTCAAAAATGGGTGACCCTTTTCTTTACAATTATAACAAAATATGTTGCTATTCTGAGTAAAATTTGATTTGTTGTTTGTCTTAATGTAATTAGTATTATTATTTAACGTATCTTGTCCGGTTTTAAACTTATAATGAGTTCGATCAAAAGTTTGAGTGGATTCTTTATTACTCATAAAAAATTGTAACAATTGTTCTGGTTCTAAACAACGTAATGAAGTAGCGCTTATTTTCATAGATTAATCATTCAACCCATGTATAATACATTCGACGGCACGCTTTCCCTCAATGTTGCATTGGTTCAATAAGGCTAGTTTTTCGTAATAGTATATTTCTATAGGTTCATTTAGTCTAAATTTTCTTTTAAGCATATCTTCCAGGGTTTGTCCATAATTTTGTTCGCACGGAAATGCATTGATCAATTTCTTTTGCCACTCTGACCAATTAAAAAGAATAGAAGGCAAACTATCGAACCAAGTCCTGGCCAAACCCTGGAGTTTTTGCATAGCAAAATGAGCAGTTGTTGCATCGTCCCAACCGTAGATAGTCGCACACTCATTCACCTTCTTCAACCAAACATCGATTCGTTGATTCTTTGATGATGGATCAAATTCCGATAATATATTTTTATGACTAGAGTAACTAGGCGTTTGTGTGGTCGATGTCAACGGTTGTGACGGGGTATTCTTTATAGAATTTATCATATTTATAACTTCCTTGCAGGAAAACAAAGGACTGGCGGACCGTTTTGCCGCAGAAGCAGGTTCATCAAACCGGCTTTTTTGTTTTTCAGGACCGTCATTATTGCTGCTCGTACTTTGCACTCTTTGAGGATATCTTGAAGGCGTGTTAGCTGAATGGTGCAAACTATAATGACGGTTCTGTTGTTCAACATCATTTACATTTACTTGACTCACTTGTCGTTGTCTTCGGCTACGCTCCCTGTACACGTCGTCTTGACGACTTCGCAGCCGTTCACGTTCTCTCTCCAACTCTCGTTCTAATGCACGCAGTCTGTCGTATTCACGAAGGCTGCTACGCTCGCGTGAACGGCTTCGTGGAAGACTGCGACCTTGCCTGGAGGTGCTGCCACGTTGTGAACGACTTCGACTGACCCTTGTCCCATCGCACGATTGTTGTAGCTGTGACTCCATACGCACGGGGGTCCTTAGTCGACGTTCCAGTGACTCAGTGTGTTGTTGCATCTGAAACTCAGAAAGGAAAAAAAAAACTATGTAACCATTCAATAAAAATTGAGGTTTCTGTATTGAAATCAAAATACACTTTATTTTATTATCTACCGTTATATTTTAACAGTATATTTTTAACGGTGAGGTATTTCCTTTTTTTTTTTAATAGTAGGTATCCATGAGTAAAGTTTAAATATAGGGGTAGATTATTTAAATAATTATATGCCTCATTCCTACAATTCCTACAATATTAATATATAAAAAAAACATAAGCAGTATCATTTGACAATTATAGGTAATCTTGGTAAAATCATTATAATATTTGTATGTTCAAATGTTTCTAAAGTACCATGAACAACACTTATATTGCAGTAGAATAAAATTTAACTATAATTAATCAAACATTTTTTTTTTGTTCACTTTAAACAAAGAAAATGACAATGCAGGTACTTACCACTTCTGATTTGTAAGAAAAAGCAGGCTTCCGGATGAAACAATATCTTTATTCTTTATAAAGTCCAGTCCCTCTCGGTGGTTCTGCCAAGACTGCGCTCCTCCGCCATGATATATACATTTTTGCGTCCCTACCCTCCACCGTCATAATTATAATTGCGGTACCAGATATAAGTAAAATCGATACTTTTATTCGAGTAATCGAATGTAATGAACTATATTCTCTTTTTTTTTGAGCAACCTTAGTTAAAGAGGCTCAGACTACTGAATCGATTTGAAAAATTCTTTCACTTACGGAAAGTTACATTATATGCGGATGACACAGGCTTTAATTTACGCAGGCGAAGTCTCGAGAAAACAGCTAGTTACTCGTAACTCTACTTATGTTAACTTACTGTATTACTACTAGAAAATTTCTCTTACTACACTTGGCTCAAATAACTGTACTAAAAGTAATATCCCACAAACGCGGTAACATTACTATATCCTACGTGTCTATATTAAAAAACAGGTTAGATTTAATTGTTTGCAACGGTTACACTCAGAAACTGCTGGACTGATTTTATTTTTTTTACCAACAAATAGCTATATCGTACCGGTTTGACATAGGCTGTAATTTACGCGTGCGCGCGGGAAAACAGATGGTAAATATAAAGAATGTTATACTTCTTTGTCTCAAAATCTGCGTAAAAATACCATGACAGATTGGTGTTTGATCCTAATGTCGAGGAATAAAAGACTCTTCTTGGTATCTTACTACTGATCCATCCAAATAAATTTAATGCTTTTGGCGTGTCTTACAAATAAATAAAGTATTGTGGGTTGTTGTAAGTCGCAAGACACATTTATTTTTGATCTTGAATTTAAATTTGTTTAAATTAATAATAAACACAATTTTACTCATATAAATTAGCTAGCTTTAATGTCCAGTTAGTATACAGTCCTGTCCAGTGTTGTTTCCTGCCATAATTTTGCACACACAACATTAAAAACGTGAATGTTACTGATTCGATGACGCTGTCCAATGAGAGGATGATTCCCCCTTAATTAGCTGTTTCAGCCATAGTAGATAGATAGATGCCGATGTACTTTACAATCTTCTACGACAAGTCTTCGGTAGTTCAAGCCGTACGCTTATGGAATACACTACTTGTGTCGATTAGGAAAGCGAAGTCCGTTAATATATTAAAGGAACTCGTTAAACAACATTATCTGTCGATGTAAGCATGCAATTTATACCTATGTATATATATAAGTATGTATATAAGTTTAATGAATCAGGTATATGTTACATTGATTTTGTTTTCTACATGAAATTTAATATAATAAGTAATATTCTAGATATGGATAGTATTTAAGTACACCATCCACTACCCATTTTAAATTTAACTTCATCCCAAGGTTGTCTGAAAAAGATCACTTTTAGTGACAAGGCCGCCATTTGTACGTCTCCGTTCCTACAAATGAAATTGTGTTATGTGCGTATAATAAAGAGTTTTTTATCTATCTAATAATAAATTGGCAATAAAGTTATTAAAAAATAGGCTCATGTCACTTTCGTATTTAATCAAACTTATTACAATAAATAACTATTATGTTAGTCTTCATCACTGGTAAACTATTTACATCACTTAATGATCACGTTTTGATCTGCTTTTCATACGACGATTTCATTTCTGGAACTACCAATTTATTTTTCTCCTCCAACATGCAAGTATCAGCATCTGAAATAGGAGATTCTTTATGATATCATCAAGCTGATGTTATGAGGTGGTCATTTTTACAGTGTAGTAACTATAGATTTTTTATTGACGTCGATATTGTGGTTATATGAATGCCATAACTAGATGTCGCTGTGTCAGAAGCCGCTACAGCATACAGAGTTATTATAAATACAAAACTAATTAAAACAACTTCATGTTTACCATTTTCGTGTTCGTCGTCGCCGTAAAAGTTCCACGGCTGTACTTTTCCCTTGACAAATATCACAAATACACCGTTCGTGAGTATTTGGAACGACGCTACCACTATAAATAATATTTGCCAACGTTGTTGGTTAGTCTGAAACAAATTCACATATATTATTATTATACTTATACATTTCTTAAGTTCATTCAAAGCCGAAACAGACCTTTTGTGATCAAAACAATCCTTTATTCGAATTTCTAGTACAGTATAGGTGATGTCTGAAGCCTTAGCAATTGTTGAGTATGGATGAAAACAGGTATGAATGGCAAAGGTATGGAGAATAGTACCTAAGTTGTGAAAGCAGTTCTCTTTGCCTATTCCGTAAAGGATCTGGCACAAAGATATTGTCAGATCCATGTTCATTTTAAAAACATTCTCAAAAATTAAAACTCTTTAAAAATACTTTCAAACAAAGTACAAGAGACAAAGTCATATATAAAATTATAATTAAAAATATATAAAAAATCTTCTCTAAAGAGGCTGGCAAAGTTGTCGACGACACATATTATAACGGTTAATTTCGAACGACATTAGTACATCCAAATGAAACATCTCAATATAATACTCTAATCCTACTTATGTATGTCGTACATTTAAGACCAATATATCCGTATTTGCGAAAATAGAAATTCATGGTATAAAATATCACGTTACTCTACAGTTAAACACCATCAAAAATACATAATTTACACAGTAGACAGCTGACTTAACAGTCCACGATCAATCGCACATCGAAAGGCTACAGAGCCAGCATTTGTGCACATTTTTGGAAAATGTTGTATCACACATTATTACAAGTTCTATTATAAAAATGTCAATCTGATACAGACCACATCATTCCCGACGATATTCGAGACGAGCACAGGAACTGTCAAACAGACGAGGTTCGCTATCATATTACCCAATGCCATAATGGGGCCTGCGAAATTGGGCGCCAAGTCTAATTGGTTTATCTGAAAAAAAGTAAAAATGATAAAGCGAAGTATATGTTATTATAAGGGTCTCTAATATAAACATTTCTAGTGTGAAGATCTCTTGTAAAGAATCCTATTGTGTCAGCAAATACAAGTTTATTTTTTTTATCATCATCTTCATTAATGTCCTCACTGCAGGGGCTCTGGCCTTCCTTGTGGATGGTTAAAGAGAGAATCAGGATTGGATGGTATTAACGACCGCAAATGCAGCCGGAACTAACGGACTAACGTACCTTCCGAAGCACGAAGTAGCTCGAGATAATATTTTTTTAATCACTTATCCCGTGAACGACCCTTGTGAAAGTTGCTTAAAACAGCGATCTCTGATCGAGGCGCTTATCCTAATTAATTTTAATGAATTAAAATCCTTATTAGCCTAATACCCCAATCAACATCAACATCAGCCCTTTTACGTCCCCACTGCAGGGGCTCAGGCCTTCCTTATGGATGGTTAAGGAGGATGGGCCATGACCCTCCACGCGGGCCCAATGCGGGTTGGATGGAGGGTATTAACGACTGCAAATGCAGCCGGGACCAACGGCTTAACGTGCCTTCCGAAGCACGGAGTAGCTCGAGATAATAATTTTTTGGTCACCCATCCTGTGACCGACCCTTGCGAAAGTTGCTTAACGACAACGATCGCGGGCCGCGGCGCTTATCCACTACGCCACCGAGCTACTACCTACCCCAATATTCTTAACCTATTACTCATGATCCGTGTGGATTTGTGATGGACATATAGACACAGCACTTATCACTCACAAATGTGTGCAGGAACACGAAGAAGCTCAAGATTTTGGTCACAAGTCAATCAATTTGCAAAAGTTTAATAACAACTCACGTGAAATCCAACGTGGACACCAGAATGTAAGCCAACACCCAAAATCAAGAAAATCACTGCCAACGTAGTGTTGGTGACGAAGCCAAAGGCGATTAAGAAGATTCCAGATACTGCCATCCCTGTCACGTATTAATCAGGTTAATTAGTAAGTTATTTATTAATTTATTTAAGTAGAAAGCGAAAATAAAAAAGAAACAGCCCCAAGTAAACTTGGACCCTATATCATAAAAGGGTTTAGCATCATTTCTAGATGATCAAATGAATTCAAATGGAACCTTGGGATTTGCAATTTTAAAAAAATATATTTGAACCCAAATAAACTTTACAACTTCTACACTTACTCTATAATAGAAAACTGTCATATAGATGCGATATGCGCTACAATAGTGACTAAATCTTTTTAGATGTATATTATTAATATGAGCTTACCAATAGTGTTTGCAATTCTTCTAATATTTGTTATGGAAATCATTTTTCTAGCGTGCACTTTATCTGAGATATGTCCGAAGGAAATGCTTAAAGCATACATAGCGATGTAAGGCAGCGAAGAATAAACACCATTCTGGAAGTACATAAATTAACAATAAAAATATTATAACTAAATAAAGATTTAATTTTTTATTAAATTTAAATAAAAAGCACGCGTGATCTCAATGCGTCTTTGCGAAATAAATCTCTTTCATCTTTGATTTATTTAACGTTTGAAACAGTTTCCGAATTTATACCCATTTCTGATAAACTAGGTGACTGAAACAAATGCGAACCGCTAATCTCAAATACGTTTAACAGGATTGTGGATATACTAATAATGTCAATCGATAAAAATAAATAAAATTAAAGTATCTATTTGTAATATTAAAAAAAACCGCTTCTCACTCAATGGATACATATACAGTATAACGTTTTTATAATTTTATTCTGTCTGTCTGTTTATTCTGGCTAATCTCTGGAAGGATCAAGCGCATTCATCAACTTACCCGTTTGATATCTATTCCTAATACATTGCTCATGTATGTAGGGGTCTGAGTGAGCATCATAAGATGTCCCACAATACTACCGGAGTGGGCCACCACCAGACCCCACACAGCAGTGCTCATCAATATATGCTTCCAAGGAGTCTTACGTTTCTGTAATTAAAAGAAATACTGAGAAATAATAATAAATACTTGAAAATAGATCAAGCTTCCAAATTAGATAGCTCAACAAATATAAGCGAGAATTACTTTATTTGTCCTATCTAAAACCTTTGATTCTAAAACGACGGTTATCAAATCAATACATGTACAGTACAGAATTTAACTCAAATGCGGAGTTTTATTTTTTTAGATTAATTATTATTAGTAATCGCTCAACTTTTAAAGAAGTTTCTCGAATATAATAACCCTCAAGTAGTTTTAATATTATTTTCACTATATAGAAATTTTATTTGAAATCTTGCTTTATTTTTCATTAAAATTTTAGTTTCTGCTTAGGGTTAATTTCGCGCCCCAAAGAATAATTTGAAAAATTTTTGCGAAATGTATAGAAAAACCTTTTTTGAAAATTGTTACGCAATGTTGCACTCACATTAAGTAGAACTAAATAAAACTAGCTAGATACAAAAAGTAGAACCAAATTAATTTTATTTCAAGTTAATACATACTTAATGAGAAAACACTTTTAGTCAGATCTATTTATTAACCAAGCTCTGTAAATTTGATCATATGGAATTTCAATTCAAATCCCTTCTGAGAAATAGTTTCTTAGCGGATGAGAAGCCAATAATTATGCCAAATTTCCAGTCTGTAGGCTTCGTAGTCTTAACTTGCCAGATTAGTAGAATAGTTTAACAACTTTTGGCCTTGCCATACTGGAGGTTGTAACATATTGTATAATATTATGAGTGGCTGCGAGGTTTTTTCCAACTTCGAAAATAATATATCTATGAAAGAAGATAAGCCCAATTATATTTTCCTAACTGTTTTCGCAGATTTCACACGTAAATTAGAGCCTATGTCACTCCAGTATAATTTTTATGACCGTTTCAATATTTGCGAAGATAAGCTACCAAAATTAAAATGTTAGCTCTTTATAATATTAGTGTAGATAATAATGCAATCACAGTACGATATTGACACTTATTTCTTTATCTAAAAATAATAATAAATTTAACCAAAGATTCAAAACTGTCACTTCAGTAACCGGCTCACTGCTTTAAAGATACGGATTAATATCAGTTATTATCGTTGCTAAAGAGTGTATTCATCATCATCAGCCCTTTTACGTCCCCACTGCAGGGGCTCAGGCCTTCCTTATGGATGGTTAAGGAGGATGGGCCATGACCCTCCACGCTGGCTAATGCGGATTGGAGGGTATTACTGCAAGTGCAGCGGGGACCAACAGCTTAACGTGCCTTCCGAAGCACGGAGTAGCTCGAGATAATAATTTTTTGGTCACCCATCCCGTGACCTACCCTTGCGAAAGTTGCTTAACGACAACGATCGTGGGCCGCGGCGCTTATCCAACACGCCACCGAATAGTATTTTGCCTTCTAGCTAATTATAATGTATTATATCAACTAGGGTGTATACAAAACATTATACCTTCACATCAGCGCTTCCATCGCCTATAATATGCAGTAGTTCCTCAGCACTGATATTCGGATGATCTTGTGGTGTAGCTGATCCTAGCTTGTAGTAGAGTCCAAAGCACATTAGACTGAGTATACCGCAGAACCAGAAGATTGCCGGCCATCCTAGACGTGGACTACCAGCGAAAAGGCCGGATATTTGAAATATCATCACAGTACCGAATTGGGCACCTGTTATTAAAAATATAAACAACTCAAGTAATTACTACAATAATTACATACTAAGATAAAAATCAAAATATGTTACAGAAAGTAACATAATAATAAGATATGAGAAAGCACAGTACCATTTTCGTGAACTTTCACATCTTTAAGACACTAGTGCCATATATTTATAGGACAGGTCATAAATATTTCAAGAGATGAAAGAAAAAAATATTTTTTTGGAATTAAACTAATTTTCTTAGGCAATTCGTAATATTAGGCGTTTCCTAGTTAAGCTATGCCTTGTTATAGGTTAGTATAAATGGGTGTTACACTCAGTGCAAATTTTCACTAACCTAGAACATAACTTTAGATATTGCTTAATTTCGTTAGGTAGTTACTAATCAATGGTGAAATTTATTTCATGCATTTCCTAAATATTTAAGCGACACAGATTTGGGCGACTCCTAAGTTTAGTGAAGACAGGTTTTAGATACCGTCGGAAACTGACAGCAATTAGCCTATCGCTAATTTTGTTACTAAATATCAATAAGTACTTGAAAGTAAAATATCTCACAATAATGACTATTAAAATGCAGTTAGTATATGTATAAATATGCAGTTAGTATAGATGATGGTAAGAGGACTCGAGGTAGACCGGCTGAGAGATGGCTTGATGAAATTCAAAAAGTGGCAGGAAAGAATTGGACTGAAAAAGCAAGTGACAGATCTAAGTGAAGAAACCTGGAGGAGGCCTTTACTCTAGAGAGGTCCTTAATTTAATTTGTTTTTAAATGAAACTAAATATAAGATTCTGATTATTGTAATATGCATGCACTTTACAATACAATACCAAACTATTTGTAAAGATACTATTAAGGAAATAAAAGGTTTTATTATTATATTATTATTATTATATGTATAAATATATGATAATTAAATGGACAGATTAGCTGTTGTTCACAGACAGATTGTTTGTTGTGTGTTCGAGCGACGTCATCCGCGTAAATTATATACCATGTCACTTGCTTATAATGTAGCTTCCCGTAGGTGAAACAATTTTCATGACCAGATCAGTACTTCCGAAAATTACTCCCTTTGTCAAAACGTATGAATTCCTTTCATATAATCCGCATTATAAATAAAATTTAATAATTTTAAATCCATCCATATAAGCTATAATTCAAATGAATACCTTCTTTGACGTAATTCCTTTAAATTAATTTTCATCTTAATTCTATTTAACCTCATTTCAAATCCATCATTAATTCACCCACCCATTAATTATTTGCGTTCATTCATTTATACGGTATTATCTGATTCACTGATCCATTTACGCATTGAATAATTTATTCACCAATTTAACATATAATATTCGTGTTTCGTGATTTTAGAATGTGGATTCTGGTTCTCGTTATTGACACTAATAGTAAATCTTGTACACACTGTTTGTTTCTAGAGTTCCAGACCAAAAATGAAAAATAGAACTCATATAAGATCTTTGGGTCTGTCCCTTTATCGCAGCTATTTCGAAACTGCTGAATTAATTGTACTAAATTGTTGTACAAAAAAATAAGATATTGTAACAAAAGAATGGAAATTGATAACTAAAACGACCGTATAATAAAAAAGAAGAGGGAAAATGACGGTTATTATTTAGGGGGGAAAATAAGACAATTAAAAAAAATAGTTCACAAAGTATATTATGTGACAATATATTTTTATATGTGTGGAATAATTATTTTAAAAGTTATTTAATATATTTATATATCTTACATTCAAAACCACTAGTATATACCTATAATCTGATAATCTGAAATAGTTCTGTATCTATATTTAAATATAAAAAGACATTTCAACAAATAAATAGTTAAATTAAAAACTGCCAGAAACGGAAGAATAACCTATATTTAATATTAGATTTGAAATAATATGCATTTGTTTTTTCAAAAACTGCTTTGAAAATTAAAAAAGGTGAGAAACAATATTAATCTTAAAATTGGCCCGATTCTTCAAAAAAATTTCTATAGAAGTTGGGCGGTTTTCTGTACATTATTTAATAAAATATTATTATTAATAATAATAATCTATTTGCGTTTAAATAGGGTATAGAAAAAAGATGGAAAAGTAATACAATTATCGCCTATTCAGCCATTAACAATGGCATGCAAATCTAGTAAAAAGAAGTCATTATAAGCAGTGATCAATCTACTCTAACGTTTAGTTTCCATTATCTGAGAATTCGAGTTCAGCGAGTTTGAGCGAGTTAGCCAGTTATACAGGGAGGAACAAAATGACCGACACAGCCGAAAGTTTCAAGTTAGGTAACATGCAAACGTTCATTTTATTTGACAGATATTTAAAAATTGAGGAGGTGTAAAAATGGAGTAAAAATTTTAACCGGAGTAACATCACTTAGTTTTCGTTTCCGATTTTAGTTTTTTGATGATCAGTTGATAGCAGTTTGATAAAACTAGGACTATTTGACTTGTGAAATTAAAAAAAAACTTAGGTTATTGAGAATAAGCAGTAGAAATTTTCTACTTTCAAATCAGAAACCGGCTGTTAGTCTGTAAATCGATTTAAGCATTTTGACTGCCTTGTTTATTGATCGTCTGGTAGAATTTGCATGAATGCAGTCTTATAAATCACAAACAAGTTCATTTCGTTTTTAGAAATGAAGAAGTCAATGACCGATTTAAACTTTTCCTTAGTACGTCCCAAAAAACAGCTGACTCAGGGTTAAAAACACTCATTTTTTTTCAAAAACTTTGTATTTTTATATCTCCGAAACTATTTAACCTAGACTTATATTTTTTTTACATCATATTAAACACAAATAGTACTCTCTAGGAACCTCGGGAGTGTCGGTCGTTCTGTTGCACCGAGTATAACTCTATCTTAAATCTAGTATGAGGTGTATTCATTATAAATTCCGGAATCTTATAAAATGTTTGACACACACAGTAGCAGTTATTTTTAAATCATGCGCTTTTTGGGATTCTGTCAGTCTAGCCTATTTTAATTTTTAGTGTATTTTGTCCGTAATTAGGATATCGTTTGGAAAATTTCGCTGCTTCAAATATATATAAGAAAACAAGAGGTAGAATACCGAGACATTTGAACCATTGCTTACATGAGACATCGGGAGCGATGCCACAAATTGATCTTATGCATTTTTTCTGGGTAATAAATAACCTTTGGGCATCTGTACCATTGCCCCAAATAATAATTGCATAATACAAAATCGACTCCATATAAGCAAAGTATGCTGTGAGAGCCGTACTTCTTGTCGTTACTCTTTATAATTTAAACAATGCAAATGAAAAGCTGTTTATCTTATTACAAACGATTTCTGCATGTTGTTTTCAGACTAGTTTCTTATCAATAGTTATGCCTAAGGATCTAACTATATCAGCTTTCGAGTAGTTCACACGCCGGTTTCATGGTGTCACTATCTCTGAGGTCCTAGATTCGATTCCGTTCAAGTCAATATAGAAAATGAACTTTTCTATATTGTCTCGGGTCTGGGTGTTGTGGTACCTCCGTTGTCTCAAATACTCCATAATACGGGGGCTTTAGCTACTCATCCTGGCAACTAAGAAATGTATGTGATGTTGTTTAATAAAAAAAATGTGCTTACCAGTGTAAACATAGGTAGTGAGTCTACCCCTCTCGCTCAGCGGTGCCCATTTACCTAAGATCGTATGAATGCTCGGATAGAACGCAGCCTGTGTCATACCTTGCAGTAAGCGGCATACGCACATACCAAACCAACCTGCCTATAATTAAATTATAAATGTATTTTAATAAAATTTGAAATATGAATGGCTGGCGATCTCTCTTCAAAGCGTCGCCATCCCTGTAGTCCTGGGTTCGATTCTCGGACGGGCCATCATAAAAATTATTTTCTTTTACTCGAACGGATGTTGAGGTACCTTAGTCGTCGATATTCCAATTATCAAGGACTTTAGCTACTTATCGTGAAATCTGAGCAATATATTAAAATTTAAAGCTTTTTTCAAAATTTATCAAAATACATAGTATAATATTCCATAATTAGATTTTAAATTATCAACTGTCGAGCAAAACCATGGTCAAGAAAATCTTGATTAATAAAACCATTGAATTATGTTTTAGGAAAAAGATTATTTATAAAGGAAAAAAATAAAGTCATTGTTAATTAATTATATTTTTCTTACTATTCTTAAAATTAAAATTACCACACCTGCTTTGGAAGTATTCGAAGTTTTTTTTAAATCACCCGAAGCCTTTGCTCTTCGGTTTCATTATAAAAGTTCGATATATTAAACAGGTACTTAATATGCGCTTGTGTGTATATTAACTACAATTTTAACATATTTGAAAACTTACGTATAAAGGCACCCACGGCTGCAAAATGGAGATCACACCATTTACCGCAAGGGCGACCAATATCGGCACTTTACCACCATACCTTTGAGCTATAATACCCATTGGCAGCATCATGGTAGTATAACCGACGAAGAAAGAGAACATGATCATCTCTTGTGTTGGTTTAGTCCAATTGTATGTCTGAAAATATTACAAAAGTTCCATATATAAGATTAGAATCAGATTCAACTACTACTTATATTACAATTCAAAAGACATTAAATAGATATTCAAAATATTTTATAACAGAATAAAGACTGTTCTCATAAACTAAAAGATAATAATTATTATTGACAGTTTGAGAAGCATTGAAGCAATAAAATGTCAACTACGAGTGTCCTTTGTAAATCATCGCCATCTTTCATTCATTTCATTTTTATTTTACATGTAAAAAAATATTTATTTACTTGACATTGGCAGAATTGTGCGATTAATTAAAGCCATTAATTAAAAAGAAGAAGAAGAAATTCCTTTTTCAAATGTTGCCTGTTTAGGAGACTATGCCATAAAAGAAAGATAAAGGAAACTTTATTGTTCAAGTTTGTAGTTCAGTTCTGTCTGCCTTTCTAGAGCTTTTACCTCAATAACAAAAAATTTGAATTAAATACTAGTACTCTTCTATCTTCGTATTTCGAAACTCGCAAGGCAATGTAAAACATTATCGGGGTTCTTTAATTAGTTCTATAAATAAATATTTCATATCAATCTCGGTAAAAACACAGTTCCTACGTACCCTATAAACACTCCAACTTTTTGTTTCCATCTGTCCATTGTTAATGATATTTGTAATATTACTGTCGAAATTCGTTGAATTATCCCCATGTATTTCATTAGAAACCAAACTTGCATTATTTCCAATAGTTATATTGCTTGATTCGGCAGTCTTTATGTGGTGGGTGGTCATAGCTACCATGGAGACACTAAGCTGCGCTCTTATCGAATATCCAACGCTCAAGCTTATGAATATGAGGAACACTTGTAAGTGGCGAGTACCAAGCCCCTTCGGAGCTTTACGGTTGAAGGTATCATCTTAAACAGAGAATAACAATAGTTTAAAAATTCGTCAGTCTTGTTAGGTCCTGGGTAGCACTCCCTGTTGGATACCATGCCCTTTCGCCATAAGGGAGGGCGGGTCCGTACGGATGGAGAGTCCCACACACGCGCTATACATTCGATACGTTAAAAAAGGTCCAAAGTAGCTTAGTGGTTAGAGCAGTCGCTCGAATCGTGAAATAAATTTTTCATTAATAATATTTTCCAGTAATGTATTGGGTATGCAAAATTTAACAATAGTTTAAATTAAATACAAACTTAAGAAACAATTGTGATAGGTATTTCTGTATCTAAAACTGGCTGTAGAAGTTGCTATGGATTATGGATTTCTAATAACGAATCCAAATGCCTTCGATGTCCGATTTACAATATGTTGCACGTCTGGCACAAAAAGATACTGATCTTTTAGTATTTTATATTATCATGAGACAAGAACACATAAATAAAACTGTAGACTCTTTTCGAGCCCATTAAATTAAGATCCGAGCAATTAATGTTATATTTATTATTTATTTAAACTTTTTTGCACACAGTTCAAATGGTGGACTTAATGTCTAAAGGCATTCTCTACCAGTTAACAGGAGAGTTACAGACAGACAATATATAAGGCGGTTCATAAAGATCAACTGTGTTAGACAACATACATCTAACGACTTTATAATATCATATCCATAAACATCAAATAAATATATATATCTAGTTATATAAATACATATATCTTATCAAATTATGGATTGACCAGATGAGGATGAGGAATTTAAAACATGTTCACGAACTAATAGTATGAAGGAGATTTTATTTGGTGCTTTCAGTATCTGTATTTGCAGTCCGAATGAATTTTGAAAATGCCAAATTCCAAGTAGCAAAATGTTAAGTCAGCAAAATTCATATTAAGTTGTTTATTGTTTACGAAATATTGTATTAGTTGTCGATTTTCGTCGATTCTGGATTCACAGTCGATCTTACAACCTCCTTCTCTATTTGCTCATCGTCACACCTAATATTTAATGTGATCTAAACTAACCCAAATGCTTCATTTTACAAAACTGTTTTGTTTTTCAACAATTAAATATGCTAATTATTATGTTTAGAGATAAACAGCTTCTGCAAGATAATCACCTTCGATGTACTGTCACACCATACAAATTCAATGAAATATTGCTGGTTATTTTACTTAAGTATTATTTCTCTTTTTTTATATATTTTTTTTCTTTACTTATTGATTCATAAAACTATCTCTCAATTTTTCGAGTCACCAAATGACTTTCAAATACAAGTAAAAAAAAATTATATTAATATTCATTATTCACAATACAATTTTGATGAATCTAACAAAAAGTCTAAAATTGAGTAATATCAGTACCTCCTTTGTCAGTTCCCGCTACACTAGAATACACCGTTTTGTCTCCCACCATCTTTTCTTCCACCATGATTGGAGCGTAACTTTACAGCTAACTCAAGTCGATCACCCAAACTGGCCCTCATTAATGTTCCTCTCTTAATTTAATTAAACAAAGAGAAATTAATTAATGTACGAACGTCAGCACTGCGCTATCAGTTTGTTTTTCATCTCAGATACGGTTGGAGGACACGTTTATTTGACAAGGAATTCAATTTTAATTTCAACAACAGATGATCAGGTATTTATTGAATAAAATCATAACTCACGTCGGCTTAATGGGACTTAGTTTTTATCGTCGTTATCATCACATCTGCAGAAGTCGTAACCGGCAAAGAATGTGTGCCGTAACTGAGAAATATCATTAGTATGATATGTAATTTTCCAGCAAGTAGCTGATTCTTTATTACTATTTTAACCACGTGAATGGATAAGAAAAAACATATTAATAATTCAAAATCCATTACAATTAGAGGTCGTATTGACACTACGTTTTGTTTATGTGCTGTTAAGCATAAAGTTACGGAAATCACAAGGGCAAATAAATGATTTTAACAATTTACTGAAAAGTAATATATGAAATCTTGGGTGGATAAATATAGACAAAGATGGTCCTACTATAACTATTATTACCTACATAGAAAAACAAATTTTATTTTAGTAAATGTAACATTTATTAATATAAAAGTGTATGAGTTTATTACATTAAGGCCATTAAAAATATATATAGCTTAAATGAAACAACTTTAAACCGGTTTCGTCGAGTTTGTTTTTGGTTTTATTGACATTACGGACGATTTACATGTTTCGTGTTCACATAAGATTAAGGTGTTGATTGTCTTTATAATTATAAATCTAGCTACCTTCAAAAACCAAAATACAATTGGACACATTCACATATTTCAGTTACGGATAGAGCGCGTGAAAATATAAAAAATCGCGTGACCGAAACCAAAGGACACCTTTCACGCGCTCTCTTAAAAAATATAAGACAGCGCGTGGAAGTTATCCTTTGGTTGCATTACAGTCCTTTAAAGGTTGAGGCTAGTTATCAACAGACGCACGCACACATTCCATAGGAAAATTCTGAATTGGCAATCGTATGGATTGTTTTAAGGACTTCAAATTATCATGGCGTTCAGAGCAAGCCACACTCCCAAAAACGGACCATAAATCATAATCAAGCGGATTAAGATCCAGAGTAGATGACAGCCACCTTTATTTGTTTTTAACCAAGAAAAACCGTTCTTGATTATTGAACATGGTGTTGTTTAGGGGATTTAACTACCTACTCGAAAATGGTGTCTTTATACACTTGCGCCGATGTTTTAATGTCTTTTTCACAAAAATATGGCTCGTTCGCTCTTTCATAAACAACACTCCACTTTTTTTGTGACCTCCCTTTACCGCTTAAGTAATTGTTTTGATTTTACTATACAATAACCAGTGCATCTCTTAAAGGCTGCATGTCCTAAGTCAAGTTCTATCATCATCTCCCGAGATAAAATCTTTTGTCCGGTCTTTCTCTCCAAATGTTAAATGAATCGAAGGTTATTGGAAGAGGTCTTTGCCCATCCTAGCATTAGAACCAATGTTGTTACCTTAATGTTAATAATTATGCATGAGCAAAAAAATCGCTTGATTGTTGGCAGCATTTACATTTACCTACAACAAGATTCCGTACGATATAACACTGTGAAAGTAACTGAAGTATTCTATTCTGGCAGTATCTATATCAGCTATAATTAACCTACGTATCTTCATTGCGGCATATGCTGCAGAGCGAAGTGTAAGCGACAATTTATCAATAGCTTTACAATACGTTGGTATCCACAAGGCCCATATTGTTGTCTATTATATTCGTGAAAAAACTATAGGCCACTACCATTACTCCAAATGCCACTACCATTACTTCAAAAGTATGTAAATATAAATTCAGTAATACTTGTTTAATTTTAGAAAATTAAATCTAAACAAAAATCGATCCCGGGATGATGTTCTTGACAACCGTGCCACTAATCCTGGGAGATCTTCGAATAATATTGTCAAAGTGTAATAAAAAAGTATAATCGGCAATTGGTGGGTGTTAACAAAATTCCAATGGCTTAACGTGACTTCTGATTTACGGCGGTCGATATAATCAATGTTTGGTCATCTTATAACCATTCCTTTCAAAAGACCGAACACACCATCCACTGCGGCATCGTGCTATATAACCACATGAAAATATTATTAACAGATATTTGAATTTAAAATGCGAAATCAAATAAGAGAAAATTTAACGGTATGCCAATTTATGCTTAGTTCTTGAAATAAATATAACAGTGCTCAAAAACACGCAATTTTACGATGACGTCACAGAGTTGTCACTAAAATCGATATGGAATAAAGTAGTGACGCGGCACAGTATGTTTGTATCTTATTTTTCATTTCGTTTCCCCTTAGAGCCTCTCAGGGGCTTTTGAGCTTTTGGGTAATTAATGTCGGTCTCGTTACGAACCTCATTTGGTGTCGTGTCCCGCATCCCCGCGACCTCACTTAAACCCATGGTGGCAATAAAAGAAGAGTATTGATCGTCTTTGTCAACATTTATCCACGGTCGCTCGCTTGCTTGTGCATCAGACATAATTGTGCTGCTCTACAATATATTGTGTATATTTGTCAGCTTCTATCAATTAGAAAGTTATATATTCTTTTAGCAATTCTAAAACGTCACAAATATTTACCATATAATATCAACATTATGAACTATAAGTAAAAAGAATAAGTTTGCTTATTCA